TTTTATATATAATAATAAGAATTATTTATATTTATTTATTTTTTTTTTATTAAAATTTAAAATTAAATACCAATAGCAACAACTACGCGAAAATCTGGAATACTCATGTTTTCGACTTTTTTTTTATAATTTTATTAAAACAACCTGACGGGAGGTTAAGAAAATCTCGTGAAACTTGATTCTATATAGATTTTTAAATGAATGGGCCTCTATAAGCGGGCGGTGTACAACATGTCATTGTGTCTAGAATTGGATAACGAACAAAAGACGCCGTAAAATTTTATAAATTTAATATTAAAGAAGGAAAAAAGTTTTTTTCCGTTTTTATAAAATTTTTTCCTATTAAATTATGGGAGGTGAAAAAAATATTAAAGTTGAAAATTCGCAAGATGATTTTCAATCATCAAAGAGCCTAAATAACAAAACTATTGATTGGAATGGACTGGAATGGTTTAAAAATTCTCATACTTTTTGGTTTAATGATTTTTTAAAATGGATATTGTTGATCTTATACGAACCAAAAGATAGTCAAGAACAAGTTCATATTGAAAAAGGGTTAAAAGTTCTGAAAAGTGAGGTCGACGAATTATTATTATGTAATGTTGGAAATTGGTCGGATATTCATAAAATAATTTCAGAATTATTTGAAAAGTGTAATAATTGGATACTATCTCACGATGAACCTTTAAGAAATTCGATTATAAGTGAGATTGTCAAAAGACTCCGATTGGAGCAACCTCTTGTCAAAACATTGGTTGATTATTTAATTCAACTTCAAGTTCCTCAACGTTCAGTATTAAGGTTTATGGTTCATCAAAATATACAAGCTCGAGTTGCTTTTGCTAGAACTACTTTAAAACCTCATCTGGATACATACGCATCAATGAGTTATCATTGTACAAACAATCCTTATTTTAAAAAAATTCAAGTTGAAAAAGAAGAAATCGGTAAAAAATATAATGAATTGACAAACACGAATGAAAAATTAAAGTTAGACGATGCTCATACAAGATCTTTATTACAAGAATTGGGCGAAGAAAGCGAACAACTTAAGAATCAATTAAGAGAACAAAATAACCAACTAAAAAAATATAAAGAAATAGTCAATAAATTAAAAGAACAAAATCCTCAACTTTCCGAAGAAATGAATCAATTAAGAGAACAAAATAACCAACTAAAAAAATATAAAGAAAAAGTCAATAAATTAAAAGAACAAAATTCTCAACTTTCCGAAGAAATGAATCAATTAAGAGATGATTTTAACAGTGAAATTCAACAATCATTTGAAAAACAAGAATCGTTTAAACATGAAACCGAAAAGGCCAAAAAAGAGGTGTTATTTTTACAGTCAGCACTTGGAGACGTGACAAATATTCGCATTAGCGATAAATCTTTAAATGGACCTCTTCAAATAATAAAAGATATTGACAAATTTAAACAGCTGTTAGAAGATTTTTCTAAAACTAAAGGATCATCGGTAGAAATAAATGAATCTGGGGCAAGAGATTTACTTTTATCTTATCATATTAAAATTGATAACATGGAATCCAGGGAATTGAAAAGGATTTTAACATCAGTTTTAGAGCGTTTAATATGTCTTGAAGTTTTTTCCGCGGCAGCAGAAATCAGTAAAGTCAATGTCGAGGATGAGGAATCGTCTACTGATTATCATCTAGAATCATCGATTATTTACCATACTAACGCTTTAATCAGACACACCACTAATTTATCCCAAAAACGAGACGGAAATGATTATGTTGCCAAAACAACACCTATTAAAATTCGACAACAGGTCTACGAAGCACTCTCTCTACGTGCCTTCAATTTAGCTGATGTCGAGCATCCTTATATCACTGAAACCGTGAATAAACTTGTTAAAGAAGTAAATAAATATCGTAAAATTTTGGACGAGGAAAGAAAGAATAATGTTAGAAAATCTGCTGAAGAATTGGTACGTTTTGGCTTTAAATTGTGGTTTGGATTACAAGCTCAAGAGCCTACTCCAAAAGTTAAATTCAACAGGCCAGGAGGTTCAATTAAGCCCCATTTAATGCAAGGTGCCTGGGACAAAGAAGAAATACAAAATTATGAAGTAGAACTTTGTTATTTTCCTTCTATAGTTTCAAAAATAGGCGACCAATTACAAATTTATAACAAGTCTGAAGTATTAATTAGACCCAAGTCCAAGTCGAACAAAACATTCAACAAGCTTAAAAATATTATCTTTCGTTAACGGTAATTTTTATTTTTTTATTATTGTTATTTAGGTTAAAATAAAAAAACTCCTAGGTATTTACGTGATTAATTTAATTCTTTATTCGTTATCATTTATTTGTCTCTTTTTAAATAGTATTGGTTGTTAAAAAAGAAAACTTTAATAAAATCTTAATATATTTAAATTTTTTAATAATATATATATGTATGGTATGTATATGTATATATTATATATATATATATATATAATCTAAGCAATAATAAATAAATATATAATTTTTTGTGTTTAAAAATTTTTTTTTATAAAATATAATAATTAGGATTTAAAAATGCATAGAGATTTCCTTTAAACAAATAAAAACCATTTACTACCACCACTATTATTACCACGTATCAAGTTAAACAATAAACTGTACATTGTGAAATTATGTATAGAAAAAAATTTATAAAATCAAAAACTTTATTCAGTCGGTTCTTCGACACACAGTTTCAACTAGGTTTTTTGCATCTAAAAAATATTGAAAGATTATTAAAATCAACTTTTATCAATTGTATTTATATTCAACTTGCCTTTAGACCGCACATAAACCATACAATAAGGATTTGCTGAAGATCCTGTCGTGTCGGCAAGAACTTCTCTTTCTTCAACCTAAATAAACATAGATCATTTTACAGATGTGTGTAATCATATATATATATATATGTATGTGAATGAATGAATACATGAATATTAATTAAATCTATCAAACCTCTGTTACATAAGAATCGTTATATTTTAACCATCGATCTTTTTCAATATCATAAATATATATCCAATAATGACCAAATGTAGCCTGACCTAAAAAACATAATAATTAATATAATTAATATTTTCGTAATGAAGGAAAATCGAATTTAAACTTTATTATTAATATACCAACCACTATGTATGAATACTGCATGTAAATGGTATTCACACTCTTTTAGGTCATGATAATGTTGTTTTAATTTATGCCTTAAAGTTGTTATACTATCTTCAGCATCTAACAAAAATCACAAAATTTAAATAAATTGTCAAATACTCTCCCACAAAATATATACATAGTATCTACCAGAAATTCGATTGGTAACTCTTATGCTCTCTTGTTCCATTTCTGATAATTGCCAATCTGCGTTTTCATCAAATAAAAATTCAGAATAATCAGATTTCATATTTTTTATAAAATCAGCTGTTGTTCTAAGTAGACTTGACGGATTTAACATAGTAGTCTATTAATAGATAATTATCAGTTTTTATAAAAAATATCTTTTTAATAATTATGAAAATCTTATTCACACACACACACACACACACACACACACATATATATATTAATTAACCTTATCTTGAGAATTTTCTTTGAGTGTTGTTTGTAATCGATCTATTTCCATTTTCCAAGAATTTGCTTGTAAACGTCTTTGTCTCAGCAGGTCACCATTCTTATCTAAATACCGATCAAGATAAATTACTTTGTCGAAACGAAGAAATGCATTGGATTTATAAACATTGGAAGTTGATCTATCGAATTGCACTCTCTATTATTATTAGATTAAATTTTTTAAATTTAACCCATTATAAATACTAAAATGAGAGCAAATAAATTTGTCGAGAAAATACACTTACTTGTACATGTATTTGAAGTATAGGTGGTATGCTTGTTAGAGTTACTTCTCTTTCGGCTTGTGTGCCTTCAAAATCAACCTATTAATAATTATCATGTATATATGAGTAATATTTAATTATTTAAATAAAAATTATTATTATATATCTACCGTTGATGTATCAAAATAAACATCAAGACCATCATATAAATCACGACCTTCAGCTACAATAACGATGTTTAAAAAAAAGCAATTAAGGAAATTAACAAATAAATGTAACCATGTATAATAAACGCACACGCACGCACACACACACACACACACACACACACACACACACACACACACACACACACATATATATATCTAGTATTAATCAATAGTCTAGAGGTGAAAAAAGGATATTAAATGATTGAATGGTTCTTCTTTAACAGTATCGATATTTTGACCAGTATTTTGATCTGTATAATGAAGAACTTGTCGAGTTTCACCATAAAATAAACTGATTGAGATTGAAAAAAAATAATAATGATAATATGTTATATTATTAATCGAGATCAATCATATTACAGCAAATAATTTAATTTTTTTTAAACCTTTTTACAATATTTTCCATATTATCATTTTGGGTGCTTTTAATCGCAGCTTCAAGTTGAAACATTACATTGTCCATACATTCTGTAAAACAATGTTTTTGCTTTATTAATGCTCCAAGGTTATTATTGAAGCTAAACAAATTGTGCAAACTGATAAAAAAATAACATTTCAAATGTGAATTAATTTACCTGTAACATCTTGTTGTTTCCCAAATAGCATTCCTGAATTATTTTTTTCCTTGTCACCATTAGATGAATTATAAAATTCTGGAATCATATCTTGGCCTAAAGAATTCGTATTAGAATAGTTTTCTCTGTCTTTTCCTTTAGAAGCACCATTCTCATGACCAGAACTAAATAAATCATTCTCAGCATCGGTAAAGAATTGACCAGTTTGGTCATTATTATCATTGGCTAGCGTGACAGTTTCTTCCATTGTTCCTTGAGAGTTTGCACCAAATTCTGATAAATCTGGTATGGCTTTAGTGACAACAACTTTATCTGAAGATTGAACTTCATTTGAATAATCAATATTCATTCTGGAGTCAGGAGGACTTGATAATTCATCAATATTAGGTTTAGATGGTAATGATGGTGATGGATCCTTTGGTTCATCTTCATCGTTTTTAGCGCTAACTAGTGCCATAAACGCAAGATCAAATTCAGGTGAAATAGATTTATTTTGTGTATGAACTAGGTTGATAAATAAATTACGTAAAAGATTCACAACTATCATATACAAGATATATATTATTATTAGCATTGTTACTTAACTTTATATAAATATAAATATCTCTTTCTTTGTAAAAATGCAAAATATAGTGGCACAAACTTACATTTTTTTGCTCTGGTAATTTCTGAATTTGAAACTTCTCTACCACCAATTATTATTTGTTTGTGATTATAGTCAAATCCGTTTATATCAGATGAATCAAAGGATATAACAGTTTCACGTAAATCTCTGATTGTAAAATAATACTAAATAACATCACATGAATATAGCTATTTTCGTATTAAAAAATTCCATATATATATTTTAAGCACAAATAAATAAATACCTGTAACAAAGAATTTAAATAACAAGTATTTCCAATGTTATCCAAACCCACTGGCCTATTTTGATTATACGAGCGACAGGAAAAAGAGAGAAATTTAATATTATGACAAATAGAAATTGCGAGATCCGAGTATTGGTATAATTCTTACAAATCAGAAGAATAATTATCCACGTTCATATCTGCATCATTATAAATTGAAAATAAAAATAATTGTTTTGTATATAAAGTTACACACACACAAAAATATTGTTGAAAAATCTTTACATACCACCATAAGAAATAGCTCCATCCTTCAAAAAATTTAATATTTTCGAGCTATTTCTGAATTTGCCAATAAAAGATAATGCTTCACGATGTCTTATACTCATAGTAGGGCGATCACTCATCTAAAATGGATTTAATATGGTCAATTTTGATATGATCATAATACATTATTAGTAAATAGTTAGACAACAGTATTAATTACCAATGACTTATAAACGTCAATCAGTATATCGTCTGATACAGAATGATCTGCCTTTTGCAAATGAAGATACGCTTCTTTCACATCATCAACAGTAAATTTATCTTATATATTAAAAATGAAACAATGAATTATAAAATAAAAAATAAAAAATAGAAATAAAATCATCTTATATATATATGGGGGAGAGAAAAATACCTCGTGATTTTTCAACACCTACTAGCGTAGACAAAGAATCGCTCTTTCTTTCCAAAGATAATTCATGTATAGCTTGTAAATATTGAGGAGTTTTTTCTGGAAAATCATAAATTCCTATATGATAAGCCCATTTCAAAATATCGTCTTCCATATCTGAAACACAACCAAGGATTGAATAGCCACTAGCTTGTGTTGAACATGTTATAGATACGGGATTGAAAGTAGACTGAGATGGGTCATTATGCCGTTTATCTTAACAATCCATTAAAAATTAGTTGAACTAAATTTCAATTAGAATTTAAAGCTACAAAAAAAAGAATTTAACATAAATTAACTTCATTACATTTTGTTCCAAGAATATTTGCCAACGTATCGTAAGGATTTAAATAATCACTTTTTTGAAAATTAGCTAAAAACGATATTTTTTTAAAAAAATATATTAATAATCAAGAATAACGTTATTATAAAAAAAGGATATACACTTACTAAATTCCATGTGTTGCATATCTAATTCTTCTTTTGCCTGTGAAATAATTCGTTTGCGACCTTTAAAAATGGCGTATTCGAATTGATTATTGTTTTTTTTGTACCCGATTTTTTCTAATAAAGCCTGGCTAGAGGAAAAATCTTTGTCAGAAGATGTTATAATTATGTTTGTAAGATCTCCGAGGATTGATTGATTGATTGAAAGAAAGAACGAAAACCAACCTCGCATTATCCCAGCCAATGTTTGTTTTATAAAAATCCCCGTGTATTCCTCCCATTGGCAATGGAGTCATATTCTCATTTATCGCGTTGTCAAGAAGTTGTCCAAGGGATACAATGGTACGATTGAAATCTGGTTGTGATTCATTTTCAGTGACGTTAGTCTTTGTCGAATAGTGCTGCCTTGATTTTTGTAATGCATCAAAAATCTGGATATCGATCAATGGTTCATCAATATCAACTTTTATAACAAAACTACATAAACAACAATGTGCATTTAAAGTACGAGAATCATCTGACATGGTTGTATGAAGATGATGTAACTTGTTTTCAAGATTTTTAATACAAGAGCCTGGCTCTGGATTCGATCGATTATTCAAATCAAGACTTTCAGGTAAATCAGCCTTGAGTCTAAACCATTTATGACACTTTTTACATATAAAAACAGTCATATCTTCTCTGTTAAAGCGTTTTGATAAAAGAAATTCATGAGGGTGGTTATATTCTCCTTGGTTATGACGTGTTAGAGAAACAAGCCAGGCAGGTGGTGTTTGTGGTTTTCCTCCCGAAAATTCAGATTTACGTGGAGGAAGAGCTGGTGGATTTTTTGAGTCTGACCACAATAGAATTTTGTGTGGGGTTTGTTTTAACGACCATCTTTTAGTTAGAGTACAACAAATAATATAAAAATTAAAATAAAAAAAACAGATCTAACCTTGTGAAATTGCCATTCTTTTTTTTTTGCTATCTCAAGATCTTTTTTTTAAAAAACAATTTACGGAAAAATACAAAAAGAAACTAAATATAAAAACCACTACTAACACTAACACTAACACTAATACTAGTCATTTGCCGGATAATTTTTAGGCAGATAATAATATACCAAAAAAAGATTACAATAAAATTTCCAAGTATTTTTATTGGACTATTAAATTGATGAAAATCATCTCTTTCTTCATGGTAAATATTTCTTTTTGAAATTGTATCTTTATGAATCCTATACAGAATATCAATTAACATCAAAATAAAACTTCAATTCAATTAAACAAGTATCGAAATATAATAAATACGTTTTTTAGTAGAACTACTACTCGGTAAGAAATGTGAAATAGATGCAAGATTTCTCTGCATATGAAATGAAATATCTTCTAATTTTTTTGATTTTTTAGAAATTCAACTTTTGTAATTTCAAAATATCAAGGGAAAATAGATAATAGTGTAATAAAATACGGCGTAGCATTATATGCAACTGAAGCTGCAGAACATAATAATGTAAAATTACCGACACCAGGAAAAAATGAAAGAGACAATCCAAAAATTTCAAATTTAGTAGAACAAATTGCATCATTATCTTTAATCGAAACATCAGAACTTGTCAAATCATTAAAAGTAATTTTAATAATTTATTAATAATAATGAAAGAAAGAGACACTGTTTTTAATCTAATTTTTGAATTGGAATTTCAGATAAAGTTGAACATTCAAGACGTTGCATTACCTGCAGTAAATTTTGCTTCAATGGCAACAGCTGCACCTACAGATGCAACATCTACACCTGTAGAAGTATTTAATTGATTGAATTAATTAATCATTATCAAAATAAAAATTGATTGTTATTTTGATTTAATAAACTAATAAAATTTCGATTATTAGGAAGAAAAGGCTCCCGAGAAAGCAGAATTCACATTAAAATTAGAAAAATTTGATCCTGCTTCTAAAACAAAGATAATTCGTGAAATCAAAAATATTATACCTGGAACAAACCTTGTAGAGGTAATACATAAATAAATGTTTATACACATTACGTGTTTCTCACTCTTGACAAAAAATTTTTTTTCTTTAGGCAAAAAAATTTGTAGAAAGTGTTCCCAAGGTCATTAAAGAAAATGTGAATAAAGAAGAGGCAGAAAAAATTAAAAAGACGTTAGAGGGGCTTGGTGCAACTGTTTTAATGGAATAAATATCATTAATTAATAGATCACTCACTAGCTATGGACAAATAATTATAATTCATTTTTATTACAATCACATAAATTGAAGAAATCTTTTATATCTTTTCAAGCAAAAAAAATCAAATTTTATTTATCACCCTAATCCAGCATGCTTAAATATAATTATTCTTTATAATATTTATTTATCATCCTATGTTCCAAAGACCCACCCATCATCAACCCACTTAAATATATATACACAAAAGAATTTTCATTACCCCACTTTAACGGGGCACCCACACAGAAACCTTTAGTAAAAGGTGAAAGGTTTATAAGATCTGCGAGTAATGACAAGCTGTCTATTGATAAAAACATCGTGCCTATTTATAGTGCCTAATGATATTATTGGATTTTAAAAATCCTTTTTTATTGGATAAAATGATGTTATGAAAATCTGGATTAATAGACTTCGAAATTTTTTTACAGGCATTCGAGTTATTTTAAAAAGCATTGATTTACAGATTTTAGTATAATAGAAAAAAATTTTTTCCACGAGTTTCTGTATGATATCATACCGAATAATATTCATGACATCATAATTCATTCATAAAAACAGTTTCTTAAAAAATAATTAATATGTACGCCTAAAATAAATTTTTTGTTTATAAATCGATTTCCCACTCGCACTATACACAAATTTCTCAATTAACAGAAATCATTATTACTAATATAAATTAAAATGATTGCTGCTGATGCAAACACAAATTCTCTTCCACAATTAACCACTTATCCATCATCACAAAAAGTCTATCCAACTTCTCGTCAAATTCTAAGGATATTTTTGATTCAAACAGCTTTGGGTCTTTTTAATACTTCAGGCGGTTACAAAGCAAACCATTATCTATTATCTTCTTTATCATCTCAAGGACATGCTTGTATATCTCTCGTACTTTGTTGGAAGAATGATATTTTGGCTGCTGGTGTCAATTATATTGAAGAAAAAGTATGCTTCGATTTGGAAAAAGATAAAGTCCGTGTCTATCGATTTATTTGGGGTAATGTAGGGATGATAGGTCTCGAGTTGGAAGACTATCTTAAAATATTTCCAAGAAGTTCCATATCTAATCCGCTTGAAGATGTCAATTCTCGAATGAAACGATGGTTGGAGGTATGATATATATATATACTGTATATATATGTATTATTTATTGCATATTATTTATCTATTTCGCTTATTTAACATGTAAAAGGATAAAGAATCCGCTGCAGAATATAATTTTTATCTTCATTTTATAAAAAAAGAAATCATGACTTTTCGTGCAACTCATTTCATATTCAATGATTCTGTCGCTTTAAAGATTGCTTCTACTTTACCTTCTTCAATAACTCGTATATTTATTTGCCATGCGTGTGAGCATTTATCATTTGGCCCATATGGCGGTGTTCCAGGATTCGGCAGCACTTGTTCTCCCATGGAACACAAATGGCTTAAAGAAATTGAAGGTGTATGGTCCGTTAGTCGTGCTGTTAAAAGATATATTGACATTTATGGCGAAGGAATTAGTTCAACATATCTTCCTTTACATCCAGAAACATACGGCCAACCACCCTTCAAGAGATATTACAATTTTGATGCTCCCTACGTTATCATCATTAATCCTGGGGCCATTAAAGGTTACACTATCTTCAAAGAAATTGTTGAAAAAATGAGAGATGTTCAATTCGCAGCTGTTAAAAGTTGGAGCGTAAATGATTATCTATTAAACGAAATGAAAAAATTGGATAATGTCACGTAAGTTTATATATAATAAATTTAATAAAGAAAAATAATTTTATAATCTTAACATCAGCTTATTTTATTTCATTTTTTTATTAATAGGATCTTTCAAATGTTTGAAAATATGGAAGAATTGTGGCCAAAAGTCAAAGTACTTCTCGTACCTTCTATTTGGTAAATAGAAAAAAAATTTTTTTTTCTTTATTGAATGAATGTTTATTTTAAAATTATTTTTAAATATGTTAGGTATGAAGCATTTGGTCTTGTTGTTGTGGAGGCGATGTTACGCGGAATACCAGTTATTTGTTCTGATGCGGGGGGTTTGCCCGAAGCAAAATGTGGGGTTGAATTTGGAACTATTCATGTTAATGTAACAAATGGTGAAAGAGAAACTGATCCGAATGCCATAAAAAAGATGGGCATATACAAAATACCTCAACAAGATGTTGAGCCATGGATTCGATCATTAAGATATTTGATTAATGACCGAGAAACGTATGAAAGATTTAGTCAAGAATGTTGTGACAAAGCTAATGTAACTATTGAAAATATTGATGTTGGAATTTATAAGAGATGGTTGTTAGACATAAGGAAGAATCAATTGTTAAATTTAGATAACCTACAGAAAAACGATAAAATTTCACCTACTGTCATAAACAACGTGGATAACATTAACAATATTGGTGTTATTGTTGATACTATTTCATCAACAGTATGAAATAAAAACTAATTGTTTTTTATTTTGCAATAAAAAAAGGATTATTAATAATTTATAGCTAGTGTTGTGTTAAAACGTCAAGGAAATAAGTTTCTGTCTATATTTGACTGTGGCTTCATAGAAGTCATTGTCGCTGGCTGTTGCTGTTGCGCCAATTAGACACACAGCAGCAGTTAATTTTTCATGCTATCCTTTCTATATTAAATTGATCTGGACTTCTTCTATTATTAGAGAACTCATAAAAAATATTGTAGCAACATTATCGTAACGATTTCCGGTGTGTCTTAGTTACAGACTTTGATAGTCCAAAATTGTTGATGATTGTCAAACCGCCCATGACACGTGATATAGAACTGTGTTAGCATTATTTTGTTAAAAATCTTCTTAAATGTTTTCCCACCAACAACTTTCTACATAGAATTCTGGAAGTCTTACAATATGAAAAAGGACATAAAATGAATTAGGGTCCATGGGAGTAAAGAATTGATTGTATGTATTCGTATATACTTAACATTTTTATCATATTATTGTATAACTGCAGGGTTGGAGTTTTAGCCATTTCTGTATATTAATATTAAGATATAATCCATGGCCTTACATGAGTAATGTAAAAGTTTGTATTGTAAATATATTGGCCTGAGGCATTAAATAAAGGTAATTAAAATTAAGAATGGTTGACGAAATCATACATTTATTTAATATAATTCGCAAGTGACTTTTTGACGAAATTGGAGAAATTCATTTAGCCAATCAAATCAAACGGTTTTCAATAACAATAACAATAATATAAATATTAAAAAAAGTAGTACATTCTTTATATGAAATAATTATATACTTTAAGGAGTTCAAACAATTTCAACAGCAATCATTTATTAAGGAGGGTAGCTTCAGCGATCTATATATAATTGATTTATTAATATTTTTTTATATAATCTTCCTACTAGGTAAATAATGCTTATATACACATATTGTACAAAACCCGATTTTGGCCAAGTAGTGGTTATGTCTGTCAGACCATATTCGACGGATAAGATTTTTTATTTTACAGACATTAATATTGATATTAATATTGATATTCAACGGATATCCGACAATTATACCAAGGAAAATAAAGTTAAAACTTAAAACCGACTATTTGTCTATTATTGAAATTCAAAGGACAAATAAGCTGATTGTGGAACAAAATTTACTTAGCATGCAAGGTATATTTATTTATGTAGCGTAAAAAAATGCAAAAACAACAAAAATGCGTCATGTTCGAACATTAGTTATCATCTAAGCGTAAAACAAGTCAATTATGTCATGA